GAATTTAATGCGCTCAAATGCTCCATAGCCTACCATTGCCACCGTGGATCAGCGCAGGATTTAGATTGCCTCGGCTCGGCAGTAGCCGTTCCTTCAATGGCGGTGGTTTCCGCTAAAATCTGACAAGTGTAGGCGTCTTTAAAATCACATCCCCAGAGCATATACCATTCATCGCGGTTCCACTGGCCACTGTCTAGACTCTACACTGATCCGGGTTGGTTTATGGGATGCGATGGACCCCGGGACGATATCTTCAAGTCTTGACGGCCAGTTGGGCATCTCATGGTACCGTTACATCGGTGGGCCTTTAGTGTTCTCCGTCGAGGCCCTAAATTACCGTCTAAGATTAGCTGGTGGGACGAACACGGGCCCAGAGCTTGGATTGGCCAAGCCCTAAATCGTCTCGGTCTAAGATCGGCCCTGGACGTGAAAGCCAGCCGTCAGGGTCTGATTTCTGCAGACGGGGACCCGCCAATGAATAATTGCTCCCTTGATTAGCCGGTGTCTCGTATTTGCCATCGCCGGTGCTTTGGTGACAATCGCAATGCCGTGTATGCAGTGCTACTCGATCCCCCCTGCCGTGTTTTCGAGCCATGAGGGACAACAATCAACTTTTCGACCCTTTGGGTTCACCTTGATTTCTTACATTGGAACTGGGAAAGACGCTCAGGAGTCGCAATTGAACGCCAAAAAACCCATATCTATATGACCGCGAGTCCATCAAAGTGCAGATGAACCGATCCACCCCCACAAACCAGCCGCAACGGACGCCTCCAGTGGATCCAAGTTACGGGGAGGATGAGGAGCCCCCCACCACCAGTAAAGGCAAGAGAAAGCCATCTGGTTCCGTCAAGCGAGAGAGCTGCCAGCGACTCAAGACCACCAGAGCGTGCGATATTTGCAAAGAGAAAAAGACTCGCTGCAGCGGGACTCTTCCATGTGCGCGTTGCCAGCGACTGTCGTTGCTCTGTGAATACGAAACGACATATTCCAGGGGACTTGGCCCGCCACCGCCGCCACCACTGGAGCTGACCTTCGCTGACCAGCCGGACGAACAGCAGCACTTCAAACGTGATTTGAACTTCCAGACATCGATTCAACGCCCTGGACAGCATGAGGCTGCCCATCATGCTCCTACGAGAAATGCCAATCTCCTGACGGCGGAGTTCCAGGGAGGCTACCTAGACCTGGCGTCGGGAACCTCATTTATCAACCGGGTATGTCAGCGTCTCAACCAAGACAAGACACCGTCCCCCGGTGCCATGGATGTCTCGGACGGGTTCCATGGCGAACTCTCGAACAGCCCATCTGTCACCAAGTTTGGAGACAAGCCGTATTCCAGCCTCTACGCGCTGGACTTCACCCTTCCTCCGTTGGAGAGGGCTCTGGAGATGGTTGCGACGTACTTTGAATATGCCGTTGTGACCTACCGGTTCTTGCATCGTGGTCAGGTCGAGCAATGGCTCCGTCAGATCTACCAGAGCAACATTTCGGGGACAAACCTGCCCACAGACCTAATGGTAGGACGCTGCTGTATTGTGTACAGTGTTCTTGCGATTGGTACACTTTATGAGAGGCGGGCTCCCGAGTCCAATGTAGATTATGATGAGCAAAGGTAAGCCCGCAGTTAGTGCATTTGCCTCGCAGTCCATTCGCTGATTACATGTTGAAGCGAACGCTGGTTTGCCCTCTCCAAGCGGATGTCGTCCATTGAGTCGGGCGCGCCACAGCTGGAGACAGTACAAGCCAGACTGAACCAAAGTCTTTACTTACTGGCGTCGTCCCGAGCCAGTGAGTGCTGGTTCGCGTTCGGCACCACCGTTCAGTTCTTGACCGCTCTGAACATACATCGCAAATGGCCGTCCACGATGGTCAAGGAGGGCAAGGGCACATATTTGGAGCAAGAACTTCGGAAGAGAACCTTTTGGAGCGTGTACACACTGGACAAGTATCTGAGTGTGATGTTCGGCCGACCGCGGTTGCTACACGATGAGGACTTTGATCAAGACCTTCCGGACGAGGCGACAGATCAAGACTTGCTGATCAATGAGCCGAGTATGCGCTCTGGCGTACCCGACGATCTGATGGTTGTATCGGTACTCCATTACCGGTCTGTCTCTGACTTGAAGCTTTTTTTTTTGAGATAGCCAAATTCCAGCTAACCATTCGCAGGCTCTCACGGGTGTTGGCAGACATTTCAAGGAAACTGTACACTCCCAATCCGCCCGGCGGGTCTCCTTTCAAGGCGGCCATCCTGTTAACCCTGGAATTAGAACGATGGAAAGAGGCTGCAGCTCCATTGATGGATCGCTGGCGGTCACAGATTCAGCATCTCGCCTACTCCCACGCAATCATTCATACCACACGGCTATTTCTCTTAAATGACTGCGAGGATATCCCCCAATCGAGCGTCGCCACCTATGTGCACAAATGCATCGAGGCCGCCGAGGAAGTTATGACCGTCATCAACGGACTCGCCAGCCGGAAAGCTCTCATTCATGGGTTTTGGTTTACCCATTACGTGTGTTTCTGTGCCATTACGGTGGTGTACATCCACATCATCAAACAGCATCTCGCGTCGTCGACGAGCGACACATTGAGCCGGAAGGTGGAAAACAGCAGTCAGCTGCAATACCTGTTCAGCCTCGCAGAGACCTGCCAACAGCACCTCGGGAAGGCCACCTCCCGGAGCAGTCCCAACCGTCGCTATGGTATTATTCTAGAGGAACTACGCCAGGAGGTCCATCGGCAAGTCGTCTCCAGTCACCGACCAGGCGCTCAAATGGACGCGGAAGATGACAGCCATAAAAGCGTTTCCAGAGAAAGTAGCTTTCTTTCGCCTAGCTTCCATCCCGCTCCAGTTCCCGCAGTCTCCCTGAAGCCGAATGTCATGGTGTTTGAACCACTGCCCGCCGACCTGTCTGCCTCTCATCTTGTGAACGACTCATTCAAATTATATGATAGTTTCGGTTTCCCGGATAGCTCCGATACTTCGGCCTGGTGGGCACAACTAGACTCTTGGGTAAGCTCCGCCAGCATCCATGTTTGTTGTACCCAGCAAGCTTACTTATTCTGAGGAGCCGTCTATCTTTCGGTTTTAGTGCATACCACAACCTTTAATGTGGGCCTCCAGCGTTCATCCCTAGGCGACCAATTTCAGTGCTGGTAGTGATCGTTCGGCCTTGTAGAGGAGAGAAAAAAAGCCATTCTTGTGTCATTTTGCGAACATAGATAACAGATCAATGACAGCATGGAGTTCCATCTCTATAGCGTCAAGCCTTTCCCGGGCATTGTTAGTATCTTCTTCGTCTCTTTCTTTCTTTATCTTCCTACTCCCTAGCCTGGGGAGGAGCTGGCTATGGATCCATTGCAATTTCTGCTAGTCATTAGATGTATACAACATGTCCACATGTCACCATGCTCGAAATCTGATTGATGTAAGTCAGTTAAGACATTGCAAGAGCTCCTCGATGTCACAGATAGAATTTTGGATTGATGGTCGCAAAGCCCTGCTGGATTTTGATACTGCTTCGTCAAGCTATACGTCCGATGTCGGGTGTTAGGGCAGATTCCTAGGTAGGCTAGTAGCCTTCAATTGATTTGCTAGTTTTCTGAGTGCCAGTAGTGCATCTTCGAATCATTGATTGTTTGATTTGGGAGTATATTGCAGTGTACAGTAAAATCGAAATGTCATTATTTTCGGTAGCGGCCCCCTCAATCTAGCCACGGGCCTGCTTGGTTCATGAGTAGGTGCGTGATCAAGCTGACAACACATCTCTGCATAAATCCGTATCCAATATCATCTTCCGGCTCTCCATCTCTGCTATCCAATCCTCCTCTCATCCGGTATTGTCATTCCGGCATTTTTAAGATCTTGTTCCACGGCTCCAGCCACGCAATTAGCCAGCGAAGCTGCCAGCAACAAAAACCTTCTCGTGCTTCATCAACAAGCTACAGACCAAGCAAATGGCCCCCGCAGCGATGATGGGCACGTAGGCCAGTTGGATCGCCCTGGTGATACCATGAATCGCCGCGGCATAATCTTCGGAACTCGCAGAGCGGAGGAGCTGGCTCCCCACGCCCGAGATTGCATTCGAGATCTCGTCCTCACTGGCCAGGGGGAAGATCTGCTGCAGGGCCTGCTGCGCGAAGTTCACGAACAGGGCGCCGGAGATACCCGTGCCGAAAACGATCCCCATCATCTGTCCGACCGTCATGAAGCCCACGCAGAAGGGGATCTCCTCAGGCTTGACCTTCATCTGTGCGATTGCGAAGCCAGCCTGGCAAAAGCACCCCACGCCGGTGCCCAGGATGATGGTGTAGCCATAGATTTTGGCATCGGAGGTGTGTTCATCCACGGTGTCTGTTTTGGAGCAAGGCTTGTTAGGGTGTGTTTTGTGATGGATGCGGAGTGTGTGCGAAGAAGGACTTACACATGAGGACACCACCGACTAGCTCGAGAGCAGCTCCGAAAATGTACCAGGGGTAGTAGTAGCCGGTCTTGCCCATGTACTGACCGTTGATCAGGTTGAAGGCGACCAGGAACAGAATGAAGGGCAGTAGATGGACGGAGGTCTGAATGGCTGTGCTTCCGCGGGTGAATTGGTAGTAGATGGGTAAGTAGTAGATGCCGATGAAGCTACCGAATGTCGCCAACACTGTACCGCACTTAGATTTTGCGCCATTCTTGTATAGTAAATGTGGGGAATACTCACTCATAGTGAAGAAGAGAACTATCAAGGTACGGCTCTTCCAGAAATGCATAGGGAACATGCGGTTCTCGAAGCTGGTTCCCAGGTTGAAGATTTGTTGCATCACAAACAAAATCAACAGGACACCGGCGCCCACAAAAAGACCGATGCTGTTCGCGCTGCTCCAGCTCCACAAGACGCCACCGAAGTTCATGGCCATGATCGCGCATAGCAGGGTACCGATGGAAAGCAGTGCGCCAATGTAGTCGATCTGGCCAAACCGCTTGAGGATGGGGACATCTTTCTGGGGCCTGAAGTCAGGCAAGAGGAGGAAGTAGATCGGAGCCACGACCGCTCCGACCAGCAGGTTCAGGTAGAATGCCCAACGCCAGGTCGCCTTGCTGTCGCCAAGGGCACCGCCAACCACTGGACCCAGCACTGTGCCGATACCCCAAATGAAACCGGTCAGACTGAGATACTTCGGACGTTCAATGTTGTCTGTGGTCACCGACATCAAGGTCAACAGACCCATGTACATTCCACAGCCACCGGCACCCGCGATGGCACGACCGACGATGAAGCTGTTGATATCTGGAGCGCCACCACAGAGAGCCGACGCGCCCATGAACACGACCGTGCTACCAATGTAAAGCTTCTTGGCGGAGAAGGTGCCATAGGCCTTGGACCAGATTAAGGTCGTAGCAGCCGATGCCAGAGCAAAGGAGACACCCAGCCAAGGAACCAGACTGACATGGCCAAAGGTTTCAACGACTTTAGGCTGAACATTCGCCACCACGGTATTGTCGAGCGCGTACAAGAACAAGGACGACAGCAGCGCAATGACCACTAGGGCCCACTGTAAAATTGGGGTTAGCGAGGGATCAATAAGCATCGACGATGCGAAATCCTACTTTAACGCCGTGCACGTCTCTTGGGGACGGTGGCTTTTCGACCGGGGTCTCCGAGGGCGGCTCAGAGGATGGAGAGCGCGAAGACTCAATTGAAGTCTCCATTACCGTGATGACCAGTATTGACGAAGTGTCAATGAGTTGGAATATGAAAGCTGATCCTCGAAACTTTTGTTTGGTGGTACTGGTTTTTTGCCTTGGTACTAATAACGGTGGCTGATGTGAGTGTGATCAGTCCCATGGCCGGGGACACCCGTAACTATTTATCAGCATGATGCCCCAGTCGATTAGTCTTTCCGCCGATGCTCCCTGTCCAGCATGCGGACATGCTGCCGAGACGGAGCTGCTTGATTGCGCTGGCCAGGACGGTCGGTGCCCACGACCGGAAGGCCCCCGGAAACTCGACCAGGTCAAGGGCAATTCATCAGCTGTTGGCCCTATCTCGGGATGGATTTGCGCCAAGCTTGAGGATCTCCGGCGGAAATAGTGTGGAGTCAAGGGGCTCAAGGCTTCTGTTCGTCCGGATTCCCTGTGGGTCCCGGAAATGCTTAGAAATCCAGCCTGATCAGTGGTATATACCTTCATCAAGTTCATCACCAGATGCGATCGCAATAGTAATTATAATAATGATGCCCGGGGTTGCTCGTGGTTGGAATATCGCATCTCTCAGTCGCCTCATTCCCCCCGGCTGAAGTCCTTCGTCAATCCTGCCCGGTCTGACATCATGTCCGCCCAAACGGTCACGTTCCAGCGCCAGTCGACAGAACCCGCCAGTGTCATCCGCATTTACCGTCACGATGCTGTAGGCGACGCCCCGATTCCCGCGGACTCGGTTCTGCTGAAATTCCTAGCTGCGCCGGTGAATCCCCAGGATCTGTTGGTGATTGCCGGCCGGTATCCCGTCCAACCACACCATCGCTATAACAACGAACCCATCCCCGGGTACGATGGCGTGGCTCGCATCGAGCGCGTCGGCACGGACGTTGACGCGTTGAAGCCCGGGGACCACGTTATCCCCCGCGCCCACGGCTTGGGGACCTGGCGCACGGAAGCCGTGGTTCCGGCAGCGGCCGTGCTGAAAGTGTCGAAGAGTTTGGAACCAACTACCGCTAGTCTGCTGAAAACGGGTTGCTCGACGGCATATCTGCTGTTGGAAAGCTGTCCCTCCCTGCGTCCCGGGGATTGGGTCGTTCTGAATGCCGCGACGGGTTGGATTGCGCGGATGGTGGTACAGTTTGCCCTGCTCAAGGGCTGTCCGAGTATCTGTGTGATCCGAGACCGAGATGATATCGAGGCCACGCGACAGTCCCTTCTCGATCAGGCGCGCGTGTGGTCGTCACCGAGTCTCAGCTTGCCAACGAAGGCCCGGCCGCGATCGCAGCCGGGAAGCGTATTACCCTCGCATTGGATGCGGTCTTCGGACAATCTGGTCAACGACTCGCCGCCATGCTCGCCCCCGGGGCTACCTTCATCAATTACGGGTCGCTGGGAGGCGCGGGTGGCCAAGTAGTGCTGAGCCAGGAGCTGATCTTCTGGAAACAAATCACGTTCAAGAACTTCCGACTGTCCCAAGCGCTCGGTCGGTACACAGAGGAGGCACAGATCGACCTTCTTTCGTGGTTCACCACCCTCTTCGAAGAAGGGAAGATCACAGCGCCATCGGTCAATCGCGTGGACTGGGCGGAGGACGGCGACGGTGGAAATCTTGAGAGTAAAGTCCAGTCGGTGTTGGCGAAAGTCGGTGGGAAGGTCGGACCGGCCGTCGGGTGCACCAAGCACGTGGTGCAATTCTGAGTGTTCTCTGTATTCTTACGCGTCAATGACAAGTTCTCTCATGATGTCGTGGCAATGCCTTTTATTTTTCCTTACCAGTATGGCAGATTTTCGTAGGCTCGGAGCATAGAACGCGTACAAGGGTGCTCTCTGCAACGGGAGGATGCTAGCTGCCTGCGAAGTTCCAGAATGGCACGTGACCTTGTTCTGAGACCGGAATAATTCTCAGGGATCACCACGATTGATTGGAGAGTCCAACTCAATGGGAGTTCTTTTGATTCGAGACTCCTTTCAGTCAGGCTCCATCCGAAATCTTGTTGTCGATGTTGGCTGTAAGCAGTTCGACCTGCGGATTGACGGAGAGGTATAGATATATAGAGCGCGAGATATATATATGTACTACTAACGAGATAAGGGATGTACAGGAAACTTATGATAACGTCGGGCCAGGTGACATAGGATGACCATGAAAAGAATCTTAGCAGTACTACAAAGGTCGAAGTCTCCCGGAACCTATATCTACCAGTTTCTCGAATCTTTCTGATCCTGGGTCATGGCCATTTCTTCCTCCAGGAAGACCTCGGGACGGAATATCACGTGCAGCGGAGGTTCAACCCGAACAACTCACGAATGCGACTAAAAGGTCAGCAGGTTTCAAATCGCTAGGCCGAACCCACTGCGCTTAACCCCGAATGGCTATTGTTCAGCGGGCACTAGCTAAGCTAGCGTACGACATTCTTGGCCTGCGACACGGTGAACTCGAGTATACACGACCTCGAGTCACCGAGGTTCTCCAGATTACCCACCATCTTGCAGATTCTGGTCATCAGTATTGACTTCGGCTTTGAGCGAACAGGAAACGTCGTGTTTTGGGTTTGCAACGGGGCGACCGATGTATTTTGGGACGCTTGAAAGGCTTGGTCCAAACGCGTCAACTTGCGATCGCAATCGTCCCACGATATACTGGATTTTCCGATGTGGATGTGTACCAGTGGATAAACTTATGGTATTCTTGAAGAGGTACGAAATCTATATACAACTCAAAGGCAAAACCTTCGGTGATCAATTCCACAGATCTAATCCGTATAGGCACTTTCGCGTTCGATAATCGCTGCGTTGTACTGCCGGAGCATATCCTCCAGTCCCGGAATCGGCGCATCAAAGTCAATCAAGCAGCTGTTCATGGTGCGGGCGAGAAACGCGTAGATCGCCTGAGTGTAAAACAGGTCCATCAAAGCCTCATCCCCAAGGACCTGCTTGGCTTTGAGCACCGTGTCCTGGTTCACCCGATTGCGCAGACAAAGGTCCTCCACCACCGCACTGATCAGTCGCTGGCGATCAGAGAAGAGCTCCGTCGAGCTCAAGTCCCCGGAGCGGAGGCCCGCCAGGTGTGCGTCGGTGTACCCGAAGACCCGGGCCACGGGCTCATTGACGTCCCACTCGTATGGAGCATCGAGCAGGGACGCGGTGCGCAAGACGACCAGTTGCCAGTCCTTCGAGCGCAAGCTGCGCTGGGGCGACCAGGCACAGGTCAAAAGTTTCATGAAGGTTGGGAAAAAGGTGGGCGCATTGGCGAGCAGCTGGAGATCGGCTGTTAGTGCATTGCTCTATCGTTTCAGAAGATCATGGACAGATTTGAGAATCTACCTTGAAGATGTTGCGCTCGAAGGGAAGTGTTTTCAGGGCTGCGCCGACCTCCTCCGGAGCCGTGGCGGAGTCCACGTATGGCAAGAGGTGATTGTTGGTTATATCGCGGTTACTCCAGGAAGTCATGATGGCAAGAGTCGACGCCGATGAGATCTATTGCGAAGAAAGAGTAAATGGGCGTTTGGGCTGAGTTTCAATGTCTTGACTGTGGTGATCGGAGCTGGTGATTGCTGGTTGATGGGATGGGCCGGTCGGGGACTTTTATAACGTAACCTCTGCCATGATTGACCGGCATGGTAGACACGGAAGTCAGAAATGAGCTAGCTAGCAGAAGGGATCCTTTCCGGTGGTGATCTCTTGTTGCCGGTGTTGGTCGTTGACAGTTGTTTAGGTAGGATAGGGTAGGGTTTTCCGGGTCAGTGGCCCCGCAGTGTTTCCGCTCCGGCGCTATCCCTCCGCTCTCCCTCTTCTCTCTCCCTCTCTCTCTGTCTCCGTCTCTCATTTTCACCCATCCCCACTACCCCCTCTTACTCTCATTCCCACGCTATCCTTGGCACTTGGCATCCTCGATTCCGAGAAGCCCATCGTGAGTCTGTCCAGACCCAATCATCATGCGAAATTAAGCACGCGGCCGTGCTCCTGTGGTGGGCCCGACACATGGACGACATCTAGACCGGATGCTTCCATGTCGTTTGTTAGTCCTGTTCCGCCTCCTGTGCATGCCCGACCGACATGGCGCAAGACACGGGTTCCAGGTCGTGCATACGAACTACACCAAGTCAGTGCGTTGACCCTAGGCCCGGGATCCGCAACATCACGACATAAGCTTGGATCACTGAAGTTGAATCGCCCCAACCGAGGGAGGAGGACATAGCGCAAAGCATGGCACGGAAAACTCCCTGGATACGAGGGCAGGCGATGTTCCGGATGGCTTCAACCAAGATCAACAAAGACTATAAAGCACGGGTACGGAGACACCCAGTCGTCAAGCTATCCACGCTCGAAACAGAGCTCAAAAAAAAAAAGCATTCATCATTCGAGAAACAATCTCCTGATTCATTCTTCCACACATTAAGACCAACGTCACTATCGACATCGTCATCATGAGCCTCATCCAGCTAAATACCATGGACATTCTGTCCTCTGATCCTTTCAGCCATGCAGAAGTTCTGTACGACCAGCACTTGGGCGACATTGAGAGCTTGCTCCATGGAAATGACCTAGAGGTAGAATGGCCGGCGACGCCGGCACAATGCCAGATCCTGGAGTCGGACGAAATGCCCTGGTGTAAGATAAGCCTGATCCTGCCTCGGCAGTCCGCCCCCGATGCGAAGCGAATTCAGTCCTGCTGGACGCAGATCTGCTCCCACCGTGAGTTTCCACTTGTCTTCACTCGAACGTGAAAACTTAAAATACCTAACACATAACTACAGACTGTGGCCTCCGTACGGTCTTCCGTTCGGATCCCCGATCGGGGCAGACGTATCAGCGGGTGGTGTATCGTACTCCGGAAATCCAGTGGGGTACTAAGGCGATTGGGAGTAGTGCCTCTTCCTCCAACTCATCATTGGCGGATGTTCCAGCGGACGATGATCTGGCACAGCTGATCGTCTGTCGCGACCCCAGCACCGGCAGCTATCGCTTGACACTCCGTGCACGGCGTGCAGCTGTCGACGGTACTTCGCTGGAGATTATCAAGCGTAACTTCGTCCTGCTGTATTGCGGGTTACCCTTGCCGGAACACACTCCGCTGGCGGCGTACCAACGTTTCCTCAAAGAGACAAAAGACACTACCAGCAGCATTGCGTTCTGGAATGCTCAGCTCAGTGGTGCCGTACCAGCTGTCGCTCTTCCCTGGGAGACAGGACTATCGGATGTGACCGTGTCTCAAGACCGTCAGGCTCTTCGCCTCCATCTCGATGACAATTCCCACCCAGGGCTATCTCAGATTGAGCATGCCTCTGGGCTTCCACGTAAACTCATCTTTGAAACCCTCTGGGCCTATGTCTTACACTGCCATTCCGGTGCCAGCGATGTTCTCTTCGCGGCCGTGGAGCGCGATGCGAGCTTCCCAGATGCTGCCTCGTGTGTGGGATACCTCGACCACACCTATCCCGTCCGATTGTCGGTGTCCAGCGAGGAGACGTTCGTCGGCTTGTCCAGCCGCCTCACCACCTTCCATCAGTCCGCATCACCGCATGCCTACCTGGGATACAACGCTATTTCCCAGGAGCTCACAAAACCCCTTGAGTCGGTTCTTAGATACTCTCCAGATCCGAATGGACCGATCCTAGCTGGGCAGTTGGCACCGTTTCCTCTGGCAATGTTCATTAATGGGACCGGTGTAATCACTTTGACACTGTGTCACTCGCCCCTCACGGCGACCGCAGATGCCCAGCTGCTCCTCGAACATTTCTCCCAGGCCCTGTACAGTGCCCTCAACAAATTTTACCTTCCTCACGCTCGTCTGGAGGAGATCGAACTGGGCTCGCGGGAGGAAAAGCTGGCTCAGGTGCATACAGCCAAGGCGTTGGCTCGCCAGCACCAAATATCGACCATCCCCCGTCTGTTTGAGGAACAAGTCATGTGCAGCCCTAAAGCCGCCGCGGTACAGTTTGAGGAGGACGCCCCACTCAGCTATGCGGAGCTCAACGCTCGCGCGAACCGGATGGCACGCGCGTTGCCTCCACTCAAGGGCAAGGTCGTCCCAGTCTGTCTCGACCGCTCGCCCGACCTGATTATCACTCTACTTGCCATCCTGAAGTCTGGTGGAGCATACACGGTACTTGATCCAGAGGGACCCATTGAAAGGAACATTCGAATTATCGAAACATGCTCCGCGACTACGGTTCTGGCGAGCCGTCGTCATGTATCTTCGTATCCTAGTGCGCTGGCAATCGAAGACCATATGGTTGCCACAGAAAAAGTAGAAACGTCTGCAAACCTGGATATCGAAATTGGAAGTGAGGACCCATGCTACGTGGTGTTCACTTCCGGTTCGACTGGTACCCCGAAAGGTGCGGTTATCACTCACGGGGCGGCTACGAATGGGATGGCGTATCATACCTTGAATGGCAAAAAGCGCTGGCTACTGTTCTATAATCCAACCTTCTCTGCCGCACAGCGGACGATGCTGTCGACTCTGACCCACGGCGGCACTCTCCTTTTAGCCAGCAAGCAAAGGCTGACGACGCGCCTGGCTGACACCATCCGCACCATGCAGGTGGATGCCCTCGGGATCACACCGTCGGCACTGTCTCTCATGGAGCCCAGTGATGTACCCCACTTAAAACAGGTCACGCTGGTGGGTGAGAGCATTCCCCGCGAGCTCGTTACCACCTGGGCAGACCATGTCGATCTGCGGAACACATTCGGTCTGAGTGAATGTGCCCAATTGAACTTCGGAAAGCGCCTCTTGCGCAGTAGCAACCCTGGCATTGTCGGACGCCCCACGGACACTACGCAAGCGTATGTCTTAAAACCCGGCACAACCGAGCTGACCCCGATGGGCGTCGCGGGCGAGCTGTGCCTGGCGGGACCACAGTTGGCATTGGGCTATCTCGCCTCAAGCTGGTGCTCAGAAAAATAGTGCAGCGGCCTTCGTGGAAAACCCCTTCGGCAAGGGACGCATGTACCGGACGGGGGATGTTGCTAGGATCCATGCAGACAGTTCTATTGAGATCCTAGGCCGCATGGACTTCCAAGTCAAGCTCAACGGACAAAAGGTCAATCCGGCGGAGGTGAACCGGGTTCTATCCCAACATGAAGCTGTTCACAGTTGCGCGACGGTTGCCATCGAGATGCGAGAACGACTCATATTGGTGGCAGCAATCGTCCCCGCTTCCGGAAATCGGTGGAGCAGCATGGTTTCCTCGATCCGTGACCACAGTAAGCAGAAGCTGCCGGCTTACATGGTCCCTTCCTTGTGGATGCAAATGTCCAAACTTCCGGCCAATGGCAATGGGAAAGTGGATGTTCGCGCCATTGAGCGCGAAGCACTTGCAAAAGGGTGGGAAGGCCTGGTTGAAGCGGCAGCCTCAGACGCTGCTATAGAGGCTATCACCGACCCAACCGAACAGCAGATCGCGAGTGTCTGGGCCGACGTGCTTGCGCTGCCGGAGCAGTCTATCAATCGTGAAACCTCCTTCCTCTCGCTGGGAGGGACTTCCATTGAAGCTATTAGAGTCACTTCGGAGTTGCGGAAACGCGGAATTGCCATTGATCTCGGGGATGTACTCGGCAACGCTACCTTGAAGGAGACGGTATCCTACGTGACAGTGGTGGTAGATAGCAATAATGACCTACAACCATTTGCCCTCGTTCAGGACCCCGAGGTGCGGCAGGAACTCAATGCCGATCCCAACGTCAGTGATGCATATCCAGCCACGCCTTTGCAAGAAAGCCTGCTGGCTAGTCTGGGCGAGGACCAGGGAATGTATACTTACCAAAGGACGTGGGATGTTGGTCATCTTGATATCCACAAGCTGCAAGAGAGCTTTAGCACCGTTCTCGAGTCGAGCGACATCCTCCGCACATCGTTCAAGGCCCAGGGCCGGAGCCTACTCCAGGTGGTACGAAATGACATTGCTTTGCCTTGGGTTGAGTCCACGGCAGACCTTAGTGAATACCTTGCACGAGATAAGCAAGAACCATTCTCCCTCTCCGGCCCCTTATTCCGAGTGGCTATCGTCTCTGGGCAAGTTCTTGTTGTCACTATGCATCATTCCCTGTTCGATTACTGGTCGCATCGCTTCGTGTACCAGGATGTTGCGGACGTCTACCTAGGTCTTCAAGTCCGCCCACGACCGCAGTTCAAACAGTTTGTAAACCATAACGCAACTACATCGATAGTGGAGCATGATCGCTTCTGGAGGACGTATCTTACCAACACGGAACCAAGCGTTATCAACACGGTGCCCGTGGCTCAAACATCCGTTGCCCAACGCAGGCTTCCCGAGGGTCCTCTTCGCCGGTCGCTTCAACTCCACGGGCTCTCACTAGGCGCTGTCCTTTATGGAGCGTGGGCTATTGTACTATCGAACCACACTCGCCATGCTGATGTGATATTTGCGACCACTCTCTCCGGTCGGGATGTTCCTGTGCTTGATATTGACCGTCTGGACGGTCCTACACTGACTACAGTGCCTCAGAAAGTTCACGTGGCGCCCGAGAGTACACTCTTACAGCTAGCCCAGACCGTGCAGGCCAATCTGTTCAAATTATTGAAGCACTCGCAGCATGGTATGCGTAATGCCCTTGCTGCGGGAAACCTAACAGCGAGTGGCCTTGACACATTGGTCAACATCCTGGTGAAAGACCATGATGGGGATCAAGTCAACCAGATCTTTCAGCGCTACGGGGATCGATCCACTTGGGAATCTGAATTCACAACTCTGGAAGTTGAGAATGACCATGAGACACTCGCCTTGAAGCTTTCTTCAAAGATGGAGCCTCGCCGTGTGGAGTTCCTCCTTGACTCCTACGAAAAGGTGCTCCGGGAATTCATGCAGACCCCAATGCAACGTATCTCGACCCTGGACATTATTGGGGAGGCAGAGAGCGAATTTCTGTATAATGAAATCTCAAACAGGAAGAGCCTCCATGTACCACGTCCTTCACTTCTGCATGCGAGCTTTGAGGATCACGCCCGAGCATTTCCTGACACCCACGCCATCGACTGGGATGGAACGATTCAGCTATCATATGCAGAGCTGAACGCCCGCGCTAATCGCGTTGCTCATTACCTGATCCAAAAGGGAGTGCGCGTAGGAGACACCATTCCTCTCATGCTGGAGAAGTCTATCGATACTATAGTCGCGATATTTGGTGTCATGAAAGCTGGGGCCGCATATGTCCCTTTGAGCCCTGATAATCCGGTGGATCGCAACTCATTCATTATTGGCGATGTTAAGGCACGGATGATACTGACCCAAGGCGATTACGCCGAGATGTTCTCTAGTATCCCTAATCTGGATATCGCTCGGATCGACACTCCAGAGATCGACCGGTTCCCTGCCTCTCCTACTACAGTTCATACAGTTCCTGACAATACCGCGTATGTTATCTATACTTCCGGGAGTACGGGCATGCCAAAGGGTGTACAGGTGCCCCACCGTGCTGCAGCGGCGGCTGTCATCAGCATGGCGGTTGCTGAAAGCAGATATTCTGGCGAGTGGAGGACAGTTCAGTTTGCCAATTACGTTTTCGATGCCTCGGTGCAGGATATATTTAACACTCTCAGCACCGGTGGAACTCTGTGCATGGCGCCTCCTGACAAGATGCAGTCGGACTTGCCAGGAGTCATCAACGCAATGTCAGCCAAACAAGCTATCCTCACTCCAACGGTCGCAAAGCTACTTGATCCTAGCGAGGTGCCCTCTTTCGAAACATTGATAGTGGGCGGAGAACCTCTTACGTCAGATGTAATTGCACGCTGGAGCCCGGGCCATCGGATCCTTAACGTCTACGGCCCTACGGAGACCTCCATGGTAATCACGACGAAAGAGGTTGATCCTAGCGGTCGTCCGAGCAACATCGGCGCACCTTTCCCAACAGTGATGGCTTTCATCCTGCACCCCGAGGGCACTACTATGGTACCGTATGGCTCGGTTGGTGAGCTTTGTGTGGCTGGGCCCCAGGTCACCGATGGGTATGTAAACCGCGAGGACCTTACCAAGGCCGCGTTCATGGAGAATGTATTGGGCACCGACCGCATGTACCGAACCGGAGATCTGGCGCGATGGCTCCCTGGTGGCGAGCTGGAATGCTTGGGCAGAAAGGATAACCAGGTCAAGATCCATGGCCATCGCATCGAGCTGACGGAAATCGAACAGGCGATTTTGAAGACTGGACTGGTTCAAGGAGCAGCCGTCTTGGCAGTCAACCATAACGGCAAGAAGCAACTCGTTGCGTTCTGCATCTTTGTCGCTGGCTCCTGTGAAATTCAGGAAGCCGATGACTATCAGGCTCATGTTAGAGACCTGCGAGCGGGGCTGAATACCCTGGCCCACTACATGATTCCCAAATATATTCTCCCAGTTGGAGACTTCCCCAAGATGCCCTCTCGCAAGACCGATCGGAAGCTTCTCACCAAGTGGGTTGAGCAGTTGGACACACTTACCATTAGCCAGTATTCCTTCGAGGGTGACGGAAACCAACATGAGGTTGTTCCCGTGGAGACTGAGGAAGAGTCAAAACTGCAAGAAATGTGGTCGAAGGTTCTTGGTCTCCCCTCATCTGGCATCGGGAAGAAGGCCGACTTTTTGTCTCTGGGTGGTGACTCCATTGCAGCCATCAGCCTGGCTAGTGCTGCTCGCAGTGCTGGATACCTCCTTAGTGTGAAAGATATTCTGAAGAACCCGATCTTGGAGAATCTCACTCCAATGATGCGCCTTGACACAAGGGGTGCTCAAGTACTGAAGCCGAGCTACAAGGCCCCAGCCAGTGTGCTGGATACCATTCACGAGCATGGATTGACGATCGGTGATAATGTTGAGTATGGTAAGCATAGACCCGTCGTGTTTGAGATCTCATACGAAGATGGTTGTGGCTAACTATATCAAGTGTACCCATCTCCTCCAGGACAAGTCCAGTTCCTTGAGGAGGGTGACCGCCCCGAACAGATGTGGGTGCTCATGGCCGTTCGTAAAATGCCCAAATCCGCCAGTTACCAGGAGTGGGTGCAAAACACTAGTCGCCTCACGGAGATCAACGACATTCTGCGCACATCCTGGCTTCGTACCTCGGAGGCCCAGTGGGTGGGTGTTGTCATAAAGCACGCGGGTTTGGACGTACCCATTATTCCCTGCGACAGCGAGGAGAAACAGTCGGAAATCATCGAGGAGTTCTGGAATGAGCGCTTTCAATTTGGAAAGCCTTTCATCAAATATGCCATTCTTCTGCACTCCGACGATAGCTGGGATGTGGCCATCAAAATGAACCATGCTGCTTACGATGGAACCTTGCTTCGCACATTTGATGATCACTTTGCCGCCATCCGTCAAGGCACGCCAATCCCCAGCCATGGAGAGTTTAAGGACTTTGCCAATTTCATATACCAGTCAGACAAGGACGCATCACTGCGCTTCTGGGCCGAAACAATGAAAGACAAGCATTACACTTGGCCCCAGGCAGAGAGCCCGAAGATCACCGCTGCTGTTCGGGAGATCATCCCCCGAAACCTGGAATCTGTGGCTCGCGCACAGGGAGTAACCGTCCCGATTCTCTTTCAAGCCGCCTTCCAGCTCTGGCTTTGTCGCGCAAGTGACCAGAACGATGTCAGCTTCGACTATCTCCTTAGCGGCCGCAACGTGGACATGGCCGATGTCGATCCTCAGACGATCAATGGCACCTTGGCCAACTTTCTTCCGGTCCGTGCGCAGATTGATCCTCAGAGGGCCCTCGGTGACTACTTGGAGAGTGTACAGGACATCTTCTGGGGAATCACCGAACATGGTGATGTGGGTCTGCACGAAATCTTCCATGCAGCTAGTCTGTCGCGGACTACCGCAAGCAACCGTTGCCTTTTTCTCTACCAACCATTTGAACCTGCGTCGAGTAGTGAGGAGTCCGAGTCCGATCGGTGGCTGGTCATGGCGAAATCTAAGGTTCGGATGTACCAGCCATACGCTTTGGTGGTGGAGGTCGCCAAGGCACTTAACAACCGGAACAGGCTCACTGTCATGTATGACGCGGATGTCTTCAACGAGGACGGTGCACAACAGATCGCATCTGAGATTGCAGCCCTGGTGGACCAGATTGCGGATCTTTGCGGGCAAAATGTATCCCTGCAGCAGCTTCTTCATTGACTTGGCCTTCATGGGCCTTCCTTACCTGCTATTGCAAACAGCAAGCATGTACATAGATTTTTCTTTCTCTCTTACCACCGTCCTTCCCTTTCTTTCGACAACTTTTATGTTGATGTTTCCGTTCCTACTTTCTTTCTTGTATCCGTTTCCTGTCTCCTCTGTTTGTTATATAAAAGCGCATACTCCATACCTTGAATAAAAGTTGCCTTCGCCGAACACCCTCTCCGAGGAAAAGTATTGCGACCATATAAATCCAGGTGCTCTTCTTATATGCAGGCTCCGGAGATCAAAGCATCGAGAAAAGCTCCACTTTCTCGGGCTCACTCGGTCCTTTTTACTACATCTTTTGAAAAAGGCTCCTTGGTACAGAGTCAGCTTTTGGCTACTTATCAATAGCGCCATGAATAGTGGACGAGGTCGTCGAGGTGTTTATAGGCTTTGATACTGAAGCTAAGATCTCCGAGGCAATGTCACACTCCGAAGGAGAACTTTTACAAGTCTGTCGGTAAACGGTCCAATTGGCATTCCGAGGAAAGAAAGCCCATAACACTAGCTTCTCACAATGTATATCTAAACCCAGCAGCCTTTTGAGCCTCTGTCGGTCCACTCCGACCGGTATCCATGCTACTATCCAGTCTCTGATTCTGTCGTCGCAGATACACCCTCGTTACCGTAGCCAGTGCAATGGTCAAAGCGGCCGCGGCAAGATTGACCACAAATGCAACGAGATATCGTGGTTCAGAGAAGTATAAATAGGAAGCCCAAACTAAAAAATGATTAACAGTAAGCCATGGTATTCAACCTAACGCAGGGGGTCTCACTATTGGGAGTATTGCAGATCGCGTTGATCAAGGCTATGGCAGATGCCCGCTTGATGGAGGGCTGTGAGATAGAGCCAGCAACCCATGACAAGAGAATGGTCGAGGCCGAATAGAATGATGCAGGCATCAGCATCATTGCAACATCTGTGGTATCACCGGTTTAGCTCCTTGTTGCGACTAGAATCTAGGGGAGAAGGTACAACCTACATCGCGCTGCGGTGTTGAGGGTACATACGGCGATAATATTGGCCACCAGACAGACGATCATCGGGCATATAATATGCAGATACCGCTCTTGCTTCTATTTTGCTGGTTAGTGGTGGCATAAAAGGTGTTGCTTGTATGCTACATACCTTGTCAGAATGGAACCCATTGATAATCATTGCGACTACGGACAGAATATATGGCGGCTAAAGCATGGCCAGCGGTTAGCAAGCGAGCATCGCCCTACGCTATTCTGGATGAGGAGCTTACTGCTGTGAGTGCGTATGTTGTATTCCGAGAGTAGCCCAGCGTGGCGACGACCGACGGGAAAAAGTTGGTAACGGCAGCACAAATATATATCTACAAGATCATCAGAATGAAATTCAATGGTGGTAATATCTCCTGACTTACACTGTACAGGGTCCCCATCATGAACCAGGTCTTAGGATCCACCAGGGCCATCATAGCCCCCTTCCACGCTCCGACCTCATCCGCATTGTCTTGTTGTCCCTGGTCCGATTCGAAGTTCCACTGCAGGTACTCCTTCTCCACATCGCTGAAGCCTAGCAGCGACTTCAGCGAATTTGGCAGAATAAAAGCAAGGATGAAAGCTAAGCCGACAGTAGCAACTCCTTCGACAAGAAAGAGCTAGAGGGAGTATAAGTCCGATCAATCAAAGTAACATCCGGGAACGACATCCACACTAGAACTTACCCATCGCCATCCTGCCAATCTATGCACGCCATCGAGTTTCAGAATCGCGATCGCAAAAAGCCCCCCGAAGGCGTTCCCCAACTGGGACCCGGAGTATAAGATTGCGGTTCGGAGGGCGTATTGCTTTCTGTTATAGAAAAGGGACAGGTAGAACAGCGCCCCCGGGAAGAAGATGGCCTCGACAAACCCAAGAAAGAATCGGCAAACCAAGATCCCTGAGTAATTTTTGACGGAAGCCATACACCCAGAAATGACACCCCACAATGCCATCGAAATGCAGATGTACGTCCCCGGACGTTCAATCTTCCCAACTATGATATTGGAAGGGACTTGCATCAAGACTGCCACCACGACCCCATTTAGCGACCAAGATTTAGGAATGCTGCCAAGCAAATAGAGGTGAAAAAAGAAGAAGAGCAGGGCCACATACTGTAGCCGATGAACAGAATACTGATGCATGTCTGGTATTGTACGTCATTCATGCTCAGATCTTCTTCGATCCCTGCCAGCTTTGCGGACGCGATGTTTTGTCGGTCTAGATAGTTCAAGATGTACATGATGACCATGCAGGGCATCACGCGAGAATCCAATTTCATGATGGCCTTTCGGCCGAGCGTAGTATATTCTGACTCCGAAAGGGCAGACAGAGAGGCTGGCATTCTGGGTTGGTGGGTGGCATCATGAGGGGTGGCCTTCTCGTCCATATATTCAAACTCGCACACGTCTTTCGTTTCTTTGCCAAACATAGTGAGGTACAACCTGGGTGGGCTCGGGGCAACAGAACTTGTAGGTCCGTGGTTACTCAGAGGGTTCATGCGGTCTTATATAGAATTCCACCCTTCCCGTCCTTGGATGAATGCAGAGCGACGCATTCTGGCGAGCCCTAAGAGGACAGCCTGATCATTGCCATGCCAGGTATGACCGAGGAGAAGATATCAACTCCGTGGGGTCATCACTCACGAAGCCCTACTTCTACCCCGCAGATTCTTGCCAATCCTCTGGGGTAGAAATGCGGAGAAGGAATATCCACGTTGCGTGGGGTACACATTTGGCTTGCTCTTGGTATTCGTTGGCCCGACATGATACTTGATACAACGTGGGGGTACTTAACTGAAACTCAGGCAGATGGGTCAAGCGGACGAGTAGTATAGTCAGCCAAGCCTTCCGGCATAACATATGAAAATGGCTTCCTCTATTTGAGCTTCAGATGTCTTTCCTCTGGCCTGAAACTCTCATCCAGGGCATTTTGGTTGAAGGGCTGCATCCTACCTGTCAAAGAGACTCTATTTACGGTCCTAGGTACCAGGTTCGCAGCCCCAATTGTGCAGTCTACACCAGTGCGTAGGAATCACCCATTTATAAGGCTGGAATGTTGAAGCAGTTGCCTGGTGTCTTATAGCGACAGAGAAAAACTTTGACCTTAGATTAATCCACTTCTGGTCTCGAATCAACGCTTGATTGATATGCAAAAATCGGTTGTTCCAGTATAGTAGTTGGGCCATACGCTTAATACCCTGGAAAGGTTCGTAAAATTACAGTCTGTAGTAAACGCCCACGATAACGAATCCATTCAGATGAAGTAGTCATACCGGCGTATATGACTGATTTATTTGACTACTCCTGGAGCCTTGCGTAATGTGTTCGGAAAGTGCGATACTCGAGGGCCTGGTTGAGATTCTCCACGTGCCAACCACATGCAACTCTAAGCAATGAATTCCCGAGGTTGATGGAAAAGGTCAATGTTCGTTCACACCAATTCCTGACAGTCAAGTCATCTGTCCTTTCTTTTGTAAGTCATCTTTTGAGGTTATGGTGCTTTCTATCATTGAGTGACAAGAAATTTGCTTTACTTTGAGGTGTCTTTTACAGTTCATGCGAACAAGCCTTCATTCCTTGGTTTATCTCGGACAAGGATCGACGAAGATGTCGCCATCAATGATATTTTTTGATGTCTTGGGAACAGTTGTGGAATGGAGACGATGCATCGCCAACGAACTGAGCGCCACAGCGCGAAGGGCGCTGCAAAATCGCGTTCGAGATCTGAGTGCCGATATGCGAGCACGTATCTCTGGCATGTCCACTTCAAGCTGGCAGGAGATCGCTGAGGAGTGGCATCGCTCATATATGAACTTCGGACACACTTACGATACATCGAAGCCTTTTGTCTCAGTAGATGAGCACAACCGCCTTTCTCTGGAAGACATTCTGACCAAATGGCTTCTACGGGACTTGTTTAACGAGGACGATCTCAAAGATCTGACCCTCGCCTGGCACCGACTCGACTCATACTCTGACAGTGTGCCAGGCCTTTCGTTGCTGGGCACTAAGTTTATGACGTCTACATTATCCAATGGCAATGTAAAACTTCTCGAAGACCTACAAGAACACAGCTCTTTGCCTTTCAAGCACATCACCAGTGCAGAGCATTTGGGTGCTTACAAGCCGTCGCCAGAGGCTTATTATGGCGCTGCTCGCAGATTCGGTTTGAGGAATTCGGAGTGCTGTCTGGTTGCAGCCCATCTTGAGGACTTGCAAGCCGCCAAAAACTGTGGGTTTCAGACAATCTATGTTGAGCGAGACTCGGAAGAAGCTTGGGATAGTAGTGGTGTTGCACGAGCAAGAGAGGAGGGGTTTGTCGATCATTGGGTCGAAGTCGGAGGCTCAGGTCTGATTGAAGTTGCCCGATATCTTGGAATAGAAGGTGGGTTTTGAATGGAATATGACTCAGTCGGACACTGAATCAATCGGTTCAAGCCCTTCGTCTCCCCCTGCCTTTTCACACAGTGTAAAGCTTGTGCGTGCTGGTTAACTGAAAACCATTACAGTACATATCAGTCAGACACTGTCCCAGTCCTGTTCCATGGTCTTGTCGTAGTTTCACTGAACCTTTCCTCGTAGTAGGTAATCTCGTTGCTACTGGAGCCAAGAAGGCATATGTAGCTTGACTAGACGTGTCGGACGGATGTGCCCGTATCGCCTGTAGAGATCCCAGGGCCCTGCAACCCGGTCCTCTTTATGTGAGGCCCTAGTTGCGATCCTGTGATTCGTTTGGTATAAAGACATTGACTTAGATATTATCTAATTAAATAAAAACAAAACTCTATAATAGAATACCCTCATGGCGAGAACGGCTCTTATTGCACCCGGCAGATACCATTTCCCTCGGTTAGCAGGATTTTGCCAAGGGCCATTCTTGACTTGCCAAAGTCCATATGTACGTGATGTCTGGACTCTGCACCTTTACCGCTCTGTGTGATGAGCAGTAGTGGCTGAATACTGAACTTGAAGCGATCACACACTTTCGACCTGGAAAGTGTTCGGCAATCTTCTGACTATACCATGACCTCTCTCTCTTTAAGTTGTACTAAGAGTCCATGAGGAATACTGCTTTGCTTTCTTTGCTCATGAGCGGAGATACTCGGGGACCCTAGTGTTGACCCACAGCCCTAATGGGGGTGGGCTATCGGGCCATGGATTACGTTATTGATTCAGGATCATGATCCCCAACACAAGGCCAGTCGACAGACCGTGGGGTCTTGTGGAGCCTCCTCAACCTTATTGTAAGGCTCTTATTTACAGTCGCTTCTATCGTACCGAAGCGCTGCTTCTTGAATGATCAATTCTTGCCGCGATAAGTCGTACCCTATTTGCATGGTTACGACTGACTATCGATCACCGGATGTATGTAACTATCTGCCAGTACGGTGGGATTGAATTGAAATACCTTGTTCCCTTCCGAATACCATATAAATAGCCAGTCGACCGAGACTACTGCTGTCCATATTACATCTTCCAACTTTCATTTTATGATCTAGATACCGAAGGTTTTATTCATCTTCGATGCTTTTTTCTCTCTTCCGAGGTTTGAGCCGCCAAGCAGTCCATTCGGTGTCCCGCGGGCACCGACGGTTCGGCGGCAGATTTTCCTCTTGTCTTACATCAGGTCCCAGTAACAATTCCACTAGGCGGGGCTTAAAAGGCCACAATCACCCACGGGATATTCGGGACTTACCGACAGCAAGTCCACCATGGCGGGATCTACTACACCCCCTCTCCATTTTGGAGTTGTCTTATTTCCTGGTTTCCAAGCTCTCGATGCATTCGGTCCTTTAGACTGCATCAATGTTCTCTCATGGTCGGAAAATGTCTCTCTATCTCTACTGGCATCCTCACTTGATCCAGTGACAACCAAACCCGCCACCTTACCGGGTGCAATCGGTCAAAGCATCGTGCCCACTCACACCTTTGGTACAGCACCGCCTCTCGACGTCCTTCTTATTCCTGGTGGCTTGGGAACAATGGGAGACAGTCCAATTCTCCAAGAGATTATAATCTTTATCCAAAGGGTCTATCCACGGTTGAAGCATCTGATCACTGTGTGTACTGGCTCCGGATTAGCCGCTCAAGCTGGAGTGTTGGATGGTAAACGTGCAACCAGTAACAAGAAGGTCTTCAAGGAGATTATTTCATTGAGACCTCAGGTTCATTGGGTCTATCATGCGAGATGGGTCACTGATGGGAACATATGGACTTCGTCCGGAGTGAGTGCTGGTATTGATGCCACACTAGCTTGGATTGAGGAGGTGTATGGAAAAGAGAAAGCGCAAGACATTGCGAATGAGATAGAGTATTGTCGGCATAAGGATGCAAGCCTTGATCCATTTGCCGGTTTGCGTGCAATTGAAGGCCCGGGCATGTGAGGAATTACGATATTTTATCGATATCAGATTACCGTTCTCTAAGACAAAAATATGCATTTCCAACGCGATTATCTCCTATTATCCATGACTTGATGGTCGGTAAACGGAATTGAACTTTCGTAGCAAAATGCATTGATAAACACCAGACAGGCGTCAGAGCCTTCCATTAGGGCCATATAGTCGTCGGTATTCTCTGTATCCCACATGATGACGGTGTTATCTTGAGAAGCACGCTGTTGAAGGGCATCAAGAGGTGCACTGATGTACGGCCCTGTATTGGACCCGGAGCCACCGCCGCCGGTGACAGTGCCGTTGAACGCAACCTGGAAGTCATACGGTTGTTCAAGCATCGTCGATGCGAAATTGATGGTTCCGAAGGTCTCTTCGACTTGGGAGACAGCTGACTAGTATCTTATCGCCCATGGGTTGCGGAGCTAACCTTGCCGTCTGGCATGTAACGAGCAGGGGCTTTGGCGTCGTAGCCGAAGACGGACAGTAGCTCGGTGATTTAAGCGGGAGAACATCGTTCGTGTTCTTCACAAGGACATGACCTTCTACTGCCCCTTCGAAAAGTGTTGGTTTGGCATCCGTGTCAAGGGCGTTCACAATCCGATGTGGGGCGCGAATATTGTACGGTACACCCACTCCAGGAGCAGGGTAGGTAGCCCCATCTTGTCCCATCTTGTACCAAGCTGAAATGATCCTGATAATAGGTTAGCCTGCTTGCATGTGGGTGATGTCGGGTCTTATTGTCATTCTTAACATTGGCATATTATCTAGATGGGCAACAGATATACCGCCATTGGCATATGCTTCGGTGAAATTGTTACCCCAGTATTTTTGACCGTCTGGCATGGCCATGTCAAGTCCAGCTATGGAAGCCGCGACTCCGGAGTGTTGTGCATTCCAGTCGCTGACGGTAAACCCACTGAATCCGAGCTCCGTCTTCGGTAGTCCGTTCATTGTCGTGCTGTTCTGGCAACCGAAGGAATTGTTGACCCGGTTATACGAACACCTGAAAATCGGTTATTATATATATCAACTGAGACTGTTATGGCATTCATGATCTTACATGATATTCCCTGCTTCTGCCTTTATCGAATCACGGAATGGCCAGAGATACAATTCCTGTATCGTTTTATTATCAATGTTACTGGAAACAGCCTCAATAGTGTAGTTGCCGGCGTCATCAACCGCCTTGCTGTAGAGTTCTTGCTCATGGGCAATAAAATGCCATGGAATTTGTCAATATCAGAGGAAAACACACCTAGCTATCCATACATTAGACGGGGGTTGACTCACCTTCACACTAGCAATAACACCTTGAGCTTGCATCCCCTTAGCACCTTCCCCGCCCATAACACCACTAAGGCAAGAGTCATTGGAAGGAACTTCCCGATTTCTGCCTCCTGTAGTAATCCTCCCTAGAGGTCCAATCGCAGGACCTAGGGCGACTTGAGGACCCTTCTTCCGGAACTCGCCGCCATATACCAGGCCCGGTCATAGGCAAGGGATTTATTCCGGCTCGCACCAACGTGAATCCCACTGGGGTAGTTATTCACGAAGTCAGCATACCGGACTCCATTTCCTGCATGCTCAAAACACAATCTAGGGAATCCCAGACGAGGGATTCCGGCAACCACCCCTGAGCAAGCATTGGAGGTGGTCGATATACCATACGTGAGATTATTCTATAACTCAAACGGAATCAGAGATCTTATATAATGAAACAATCATAAGGTAAGGTGCTAACGTTCTCTTCCAATGTCAATTGCGAAATGAATGCGCGCGCTTTAGCGTAGGCTTCGGCCCAATCCCCTGTTCCATTTCCAATTGCTAAACAGCGTTAGAAAATCAAACTTCAGGAAAGAGGTTACATCAGACTTACGCGAGGGACATACTGGCTCGAAGAGTTCATAGAAGTAGCTGTCAGAGGTAATATTGTGCTCCACCACGCTTACTTTCCACACGGATAGGAGAGTTACAGCCAATCCAAGACCTTCTGTCCAGATCATATTAATTTAACATTGACGGCAGGCGTCTTTATCAATTCAGACACAAGTCGCGAGCTTAGAGATTAGCATGTCGTACCATCTCATAATCTCCGTATTTTTAGCCCATGCCTTGCAGAAAGGCCAAAGTTCGGCAGTTTTAACTAATAAATGCAGGAGTTGTGGTGGAGAACGAGATTGTTTCGATCAGAATCTTGCGATTACCTTTCCAGGAGTTGACTCTATCAACAATTAGTTCATTCTCTGTCCAGTAAGCCCTCGAAGACTACACCGCACATGAAAAAAGTCCGACATCGACAGTAATTTCCACAAAAACATCCAAAAACCGATCATTCGGGTTCTGTAAGAAATGCCTGGGGTCCGTGTGTTGGAGCATTTCCACCGAGGATTCGGGAGTAATTACTCATCAAATGGCCCAACCCTTTTTCTTCGGCCGAAGGCGTTGTAGTTTGGGGCTAAATCAGAGACCGCTATGCGTTAATTAATTAGACAGTGTGCTGGGGCCTCGGTTCCGTTCTTCAGCTCTACACAGATTAGTGAACCACGACTTGGTACAATATTTGAGACTGGATATATCTCCACAATGTCTATTCTGGCAACTTAATATCTCGTAGGTTATGTCGTCGGAAACAGTATCATTTTAACCGGACTAAAGAAAATGCGAAACTCAGCTTAAATGCTTCCGTGGCCTTATGCTACCGGGCTCATTCTCTTGGGATGGTTTTGGTATACTGTGTTATCTCCGCAGAGACCTTCTTCCCAACAACGCACTGGTGATGTAGTTTCATTGTAACTCCAGGTTGCTCAAATAGTGACCAATGTCTGTTCAGTGGATGAATATGGGGTTTTTTTTTAAAAGAAAAAAAGATGCCAGAGCCAGACCCTAATTTAGAATCATGCAAAATAATGGATATCATTTATTAGTACATTCAGTCAAGAGTATGTTCACTGCCTAGCCAGTGACGATAATGAAATACCCGGTTAGCGAGAAGATATGAGTTATCACGGTGGCGTGAGAAATGAAAGTAACACCAGAGATGATGAATATACGTCCATGAAAGCTGGCAGGGTTGTCTTCGGTCGTCGAATCACCGGGACATTCTGAGTAATTTACCAGCGCAAAATGTAGTAGCCAAGGCCGTGGGAGCTTTGTCGGAACTCTAAGTATACACAAGCTCATCCAAACATGTCGTGTTCGCAAAGGTATTAGTCCATTCCGTATTTGGAAACGTTAATTATCGTCGTACCTGCCGGAAGATGAAGTAAAGGAAAAGAGTCCACACCAATTCGATACCCCTCCACATCCATAGCAGATTAATGCAGAATCTCCTTTATAATTTACTATTGAGCAGTGGAAAAATGTGTCCTTGTCTTAGATAACTGGATACAGGAAGAAGCTCTTCCAGCCACCAGGACTGGAAGCCCTGTCACTGTGGGATTACCACCGAAATTAGATAAGTGTTCAGTTGAGACCCGCGGAAAAGAGATATACTAACAGATTGTTCAAATATCTGCTTAGTTCATCTTCAAGGAAATGGTCACTGCTCAAGCCTATAAGTTGGTCCAAAGACATCGCAAAATATTGCTTTAAGAAAACAGTTTCTTTAACGAGTTCTTTCCTCTCATATCGTGGATCATCTCTCAATTCGGCAAAACCTCGGCCTATCCAAATATTATCCACATCGAGAGTCTTCTTTATGGTACTCTTTCCGTATTATACACGGAAAATGCCAAAGAACCAGCAAAAACCAGGTGGTCAAGAGTCCTTACTGTAGGAAATTCAATTCATATGAGACAGATTGTTTGAATTCCCCACGTTTTTGATTCACTGTATTTTCCATAATGTTAACAAGAAAATACTACAGCCAAGAAGATTGAAGTATGTCTATGGGGCTAGTTTGGTAATATATCGTATGGTAAAAGTCGAAATCAAAACCTGCACTAATTTCTCCAATTTCCAGCCCGTCCAAGGATTCAAATATCCCGGGAATTGAGAGCCACCGAATGATTGGCGTAGGGGCTATTCCTCAGCTCATGTGAATAGTAGTCAAAGAGACCGCCTAGGTCGATTGATTTACTGAACAGTGGTTAGACTCTTGATGACATTGGTCTACGATAGCTACAAGATCTATCTCCTTTAAACGAATTCACGCATCCGTGATTAGAATGCCTCCCCTGAATCTTGAGTATCCCCGATTTTCAGAGCCGGAGCAAGAAATTTCGTCTACGTTCGTTAGGCCCAGGTTATTGGGTCGTAAAATGTCGATGTATATCCTCAGCCCTGTCCTAGAAATGGAATTACTCAGGTTGGGGGGCCAAGAATCATGCAGAAGGCAAATATTTTGTCAATCGTTGTATGATAAAGTGGATAGTGTTTATTTAAAACCTAGCTGCTGGTTGATAACATCCTGCATAATAGTTTCTTCGGTCCTCCATTTCATCCCCAGAATACAATGTGCAGAAGTGGTGGAAATAGTCCAACCCGGTGTAAAGGGTGGCTCCAGCTTGCAGCCGAGTGCAGGATAGTGATCTTTCACAAATGCTGTCACCTTCTCCCATGATACAACAGGCCGAGAAAGGATGAACTCTTGGCCAGTCCTGACATCTGCTTCTAAGGCCTTAATGTGTGCATCGGCCACGTCACGAACATGCACCCAAGCGTTGGCGATTCGCGGTTTCTCAAGTTGAAGCGAGCTCCAGAAGAGAGCGTTCATACCACTGATTTCTTCAGCGGTATTTTGAACGAGGCTAGGTCCCAACACAAAAGTTGGATGGAATGTGACAAGGGTATAATGGGGATGATTCTTCTTCAGAAAGTCACGGGTTGCCTGGTGTGCCAGAATCTTGGACGCAGAATACTTCAGTGCGTGACCGAGGAATCCATCAGGAAAAGCTGCCTCTAAATCAACTGGAATCACCTCTCCGGAGTTATCTATTCTGATGTCAATGATGCTACTTTAAAATGCAAGCAGAAAGCTTGATCTGGGTATCAGGCTCACCTTGAACGGAGACGGAGGGCGCGATAAGAGCATCCACAGGGGCCAGCGCCAGAACTGAAGACATAACAACGATCTTCTTGATCTGTGGAAAATCTAGAGCAGCCGAAAGAACTGACTCAGTTCCTATCACCGCGGGGTTCACGTAGTCTTTCTTCACATCAGATCCTTTTCCAGGCATTGGCGAGGCAAGATGGAAAACATGATCCACTCCTTGAAGACCTTCGTTGTAGGACTGTTTGCAGGAGAGATCTGGAATGACAATGGTTTCGATATAATCATTGAAATCGGCGTACCGAACACGCAGAATCGGCTCTTGTTCCGCTTTTCGAATGCTTAGACGCACACGATACCCAGCGCGAAGAGTCTCAGCAACAACATGCGACCCAATAAAGCCGCTTGCGCCGGTTATGAATACAAGAGGTCTGGACATGGTGGTTGGGCGGCGCACATAGAAAGCAGGCCGAATATGTTTGAAAATATGCCCAACGGACGAGGGCAACCGCTATTTAAAATTCTCTGGCCTCATTAACCGTGGGAAATCCAAGAGGTGCAAGAAACCAAAGGCGGTTGAAGACGGTTCCCGAACAGGTGCGCCGAAATAGAGTTCATCCGCGAGGAGAGCCCATGACAAATCAGAAACTCCAGCAATGGTTCAGCACTCCGACGACAAGTAGGAACGTTTGGCACAAACTCATGCAATCCCACAGCGGCCGGGTTACTCATCCGTTTAGTGATCCTCCCGATTCCTCGGTCAGACACCTTTGTCGCCCATCGGCAACGGCTCAGGCAAAGCCTTCAGGCAACCAAAAGCCCTCAATTCGCAATCAGTGACATATAAATTCGTGCGGCGTTCAGTTTGCCTTGGATGGTTGTCCTCAGCATTGCAGTTGTTTCATTGATCTGTGCTTTGTGAGCTAAAACGCCCTCTTGACAACCTTGAGAACTTTGAGATACCGATAACGATGCCTCTCTGGCAAATTTACCACCCACCGGGCACACTTGAGGATGGGGCTTCCAAAAAGGCCTTTGCAGAAGACATTACCGAAATGTACACCGACCTTGGCCTGCCCGCCTTCTATGTAGTGGTGAATTTCTTCGAAATGGATACCAAAAACACTTATATTGGCGGCGTTTCCAAGACTGCCAAGGACAAGCCTTTCATTCGCATAGTCATCACCCATATTGCTATTCACATCCCTGATGCCGATGCAGTGTACCTTCGAACGACCTCTCGTCTGGACAAAATTGTGAAACCTCATTTGTTGGACAAAGGATACGATTTCGAATACCACGTGGATGAGACGGAACGACGACTTTGGAAGATCAATAGCCTGATTCCGCCTCAATACAAGAGTCCGGAGGAACAGGTTTGGGTGAAGGAAAACCGCCCAAGTCCGTACGAGGGCGCGTATCCTCCCACTTCAGCCAACTAAGGAGGGAAGTTGAGCATCTACCACCATGCGAGCAGCAGGATCAAAATTTGGCCTGCTATAGCAAATGCAGACTTTTCGCTGGTTGTGCCATATAGGACGGATTTGCTTGGGTCTTAACCCAATTTTCAACATTGGTCAATCGATATGACATTTAAGGTTGAAGCGCAATTCATATCTGCAAGCTCAAATAGAGCAGAAGTTATTCAAATAATGAGATAGTTTTTGTTGGGAATTGCTTTCATTGTTCCTGGTTGAGCGGAGATCTACTGGAGGTTTATTGTAAACAATGCGGTTGCTGCTAGTCTTCTTCAGGGCCCATAAATGGGCCCAAACTCCAGGCCCAAGGCCCAACCCACATGGGCCCTGGGCCTTGACTACCGGGCCTAAGCCTATATCCTATACCCTATACTCTAGTACCTGAGATATGTATGTATACCTCGCATCCGGGCCCGCTGGTGAGTCCGAT